GAAATATGTTATAAGAAGTTTTGTCTCTGCAAATGAGTACTTGAAACATTGTGATGAGTATGGCCTCGAGGTACAACATTGAAAGAGAACGGTACAGTGCATCCTGTTATTTTTGTATTGCCCGAGGAAAGCCTATCTTGAAACTTGTTCAACAAGCGTCAAAACATTTGAAGGTATTGTCGTGTCTGGCTAAACCCTATGTAATGCCTCGGGTGGAAGGCTAATACATACAACAAATTGAATTAAGTACATATTGAATCATCATTGTACGTCTACAGTGTAGCTACCAAATTGTTAATCCGGTAAATTGCATCAGTATTTACATTGTTTTTTCTTGTTCATAGTGGTGATCTCAAGCGTATTATTGGAAGGGTAAGTGTATCACAAGCTTTATGTTTTTGAAATCTGTCTAAAACATAATTTTGAAAATCTTCATAGACAGTGTATTTGAACAATGACATTAAACTCCACCTAAGCATGTAGAAACTATAATCCGAATCTAGTTTCGAATGGTTAAAAGACTTTTTGGAATCTTTTCAAGTCTTTCCGACATGTCGGGTAGTGTAAACAAGGTTCATAAATCTGGATCTTGTTCAGGGAGATTTCTTTACATCTGCACGTAGTGTTAAGGTCACGACCCTGTGTTTGAAGGGTATCTTTGATATCAGTGCTACCTACATGCACACAATGGCCACTGACCACTGGACTGTTCCCGGGACGTCTTGTAATCGGATATTCAATAACTGCTTTATTTCTGTGTGACAACCATTATCCTTCGCCACGTCAAGGCAACCATCACACAGCTCCATCAGAGATATGTTTTGATGAGTATCTGTCATTCCTTTGAGGTTTGATAGGAAGATGTGATATGGAGGTAGTTGGTGTTGAAACGTGTCCCTCTGGCCAAACAGGCAACATAAGGCACAATAGTATCTACATGGAACTGTTTGCAGCTTCAAGGCTTAGTCTGATTTGGCCTTCATCTGTGCCTTCATGGTTTTCTAACAATATTTATACTTTCTCAAACCTTTTGTCTGGGCGCCATTTTGAAAATGTGTCGTAAAGGTCTTTTGTCATTGTTTTTCACATCCGAGCAGCGCTGTTGCAAAGGAAAACTAATCTCTTTATGTGCCCTTAGTCTTGGCACCCTCCGGATGATGGCTGGTTCAGAAGACCCTGCAATCTTTCTGTAGGGGAACATATATATGTCAGATCTTGTACCTGATAGGTTGCATCTATGCACATAGGATAGGCATCACATGAGACTACAGGATCTGATTGCCGTACGTGTTTTACTTATTAAAGCGTATACTAAAATCCATATGTTCAGGACTTCATCCTAAGCATGCACCTTTAAGAGACTTGTAACTCAGAAACATTTTAAACCATTTATCAAGGCCACCACTGGTCTTTGTGAAGCTAAACAACGCACAGTGACATATAACATGTACAAGGAAGCAGATCTAGGCTAGAAGCTCACTAATCCTACCCGTTCCCATGGAAGACTCATTTCAGGGTAGCCTGACATTGGATAACCACAAATAACACCCACAGTAGTCAGTGGAGCGAAAGAGAGGTCAGCCTGCGATGGGATCTGAACGTGTAGGATATAGGCTTACCTACCAGCTATTGTTGGAGAGCAAGGGAAGGCATGCATGCATCTACAGTAACACTTCATCTACATCTCGTCACAGGTGCAGGTCCGGGGACCATCTAAATGCTTTTGAAGGGACTCTGTAAGATGACGAACGCTCTAATATATATTACATATTTTTCCACAACCATTTTTTTGTTCCCAAAGTTTTGAGACGACCCCCGTCCCAGCTCTTCCAAACGATAAGGAGGATGGTGTTAACGGTCCAGGGATTTCTGACAATATGCGTCTGTGTCTTACATCTCTGAAACAGCTGGACGTTGAATACATGTAGCTGGAAATATTTTAATATCTTTTCAATGTAACTTTATCGTAGTTTTAAACTGTCATATCACAAATGTCTTCGAAATATAATCACATACTCTATCTCAGTGTTCATTTAGCTCCTTATATTATCATTCCACCTCCATAATGTGTACTTGTTCTATTGCCTATGCAGCACAAACAATATTTGTTACGAGAAAATATCACATTTGCAAAATTAAAAAATATTTCATCCAAAATGGGTAACACAGTTTTATAATATTATGTGCCATATTTTCTTAAACAGATTCAAAATGAAAAGTGTGTATTTCGAAAGATATGAATTTGGAATTTTCGAAGCAAAATATACTCATGCCAATAATGGTTGTCACCCCCTTCAATTTTTTTATTGGAGAGGGATGTGGGGTTGGGGTGGGGAGGGGGGTGACAACCATTATTGGCATGAGTATATATTGATAATGTGAGTCCGGCCCGTGACGTTAAAGTGTAATAAATCCATAGTGATGCATGACTCACTCTCTTCCTCCATTCTCCGTGACCCCTCGCGGTCATGTAGGGTTGGGGGAGTGTTAATGTATGCGTCTACATGCAGTACCAGGGTAACATGATAAGACGTCTGACATAAGAGAATCCCTATGTTGTTCTGATTTACATCGTATTAATGCAATCCTGAATTACACAGCATGAGAGTGTCTGAAATCTCCTCGGTGGTCTATTGTATCCAAACTTACAGTGCTCACCCAGATGAGCCCAGCGCCACCTTCTCCCGCCGTCACATATAAAAGAGGCTGCCATCATATGGATGCAAGATTGTTGTTAAAAATACTATATGAACATCCTGGAACACATAAACACTCCGCCACATAAAAGAGATGCTAAACGTATGGCGCTATTTGTGTCATGTATTTACTTTATAAGGGGAGATAACTTGACTGCTTATGGTATGTGTTAAGGGGAGATAACTCCGATTAAAGTCGTGAAGTTTTTATTGTATATTTAGATATGTTTGATTTGATTATGCAAATCATTGCACATGTATATGACAAAATATGGATACATACGTGATGTGAAAATATATGATAAGGAGCGGAATATTTTCACTCAAACGGGTCTTAACAATGCCTAACAATTTCACACCCCATGGGAAAATCGTGCATGTTACAAACATCAGTCACCACATTAGGCAACGTTTTGAGAAAATCCGCGATCATTCATTCATGCAATTATTCACCAGCAGAGAGAGATGACGACTCCAGTCCATGAATCCTTCTCCACGACTTAAGAATCTGCTCCACGTGACGACGATTATTCAAAATTTAAGATCATTTGAAAAGTGAAAAAATAAATTATAAAATAACGTGCATGTACGCTTTGTTTTATGAAATTATAACATTCTGTTACACATTCAACATGTCTAAATAAGAATCATCCTAGCATTTCCAGTCAATGTTTTTGAAGTTGAATTTTTCTAAGACCAGTACACTTGGGGATGGAGGTAATAGGCGTGGTATTGCCTGCCTACTGGACCATTAGACTGAAGTGATTTTGACATGAGTTTGTTTGAGAGCGAATCCAGCTCAGTGACGCTAAGATACGATGTGCTTCAGTGAGTGTGTTAGCCTAAATGACGCTTTGGACAGTAGTTCTGTTATTCCATTTTGTTCCAGCTTAATATGGGAGGAAAGCCTAAAACGGGCAGGTCAGGTACAAGGGTCATCTGTAGGGCCTGGTAGGGCTCAAACCTTCACCCAAACCTGCACAGACATATGCCGTGCCTTAGATCTCTGGCCCATATATAAAAGTCTTTATACATGTGCGAGATGTAACCGAGTGTTATCTGTTACCAGTGCGAGTGCGTACGTGCGTCTGTGGACATCCGCAGAGAATATGCTGAGCATCAAATGCGAACTAGTAAATTACAAATCTTTTGCGATGAATGTTAATGGTTACATACAGTGTTCATCTAAGGAAAGGTCACCCCAATATGATTAAGTCACGAGTCATATATCCTTTTTCAAAAGAACACAAGACACGGTACGGTAGGCTCAGACGCTATGGACTCGCATCATGTGATTTCTTACAATGAAAGTCTGCTTTAGATGTGGATATGATCTCCCTTGCATTGAGGAATTCTCTTTACATTTCTCTTGGTAGATGTAGCATCAATTATTAAGTCGCAAAGTGAGCTCGCCCGACCCACTTTCTCGCAACGTTCTCACGATATACCCTTTTCTCGCATCTTGCCCTTTGAAATCTCAAATGAAAGATTCTGAATGTCTTTTAGAGGCTTTATTTATGAGAGTAAACCTTGATGGCCCGTCTTGTGTCCTTTACACAATGGACTTTTCTAAAAGGCGACCCTCGCGTCTTTCTTAGTCCTCTCACGTCGAGCTATGAGTGAGCTGCCCCCTGAAAGTATTGAAACCCTGCACATCAAAATGAAATGGAAGTTTTACCGCTCGGTAGCTTTTCCATAGAAGTCTTTTCAAACTACCTGGCAACAACTCAAGCGAGGCTTGTCCAAACACACACCCTTAGAAAACAGCCACCAGGAGAGGAATGTTTGAATAATGTTTGAAATATGAATAGAGAAATAAGGGGGGAGAGCACAGCCTTGTAAGCAACCCCTTGTCAATGCTGTGATTATGCTGCCACGACTGTGGAATGTGAACATGCACGTGCGGACACGTGTCTGCCCAGGCGTGCAATAGCGTTAGATGCTTCTTGTCCATAATGCACAGGATGTCCGTGAATACATATCAAGGGTTATAAGGCATCCGACATTTATTGTCAGTCACACAATAGTGAAGGTTTTTGAATATCGTTGCATGCCTTGCTGCACCTTTTTGTTGTCACGCTAGCATACAAGACTGAAAATTACACATTGAAGCTCTGAATATTAATTTTATGTTTTAGATTCCCAGTTTATTAAGTGCATCGGATTAAACAACGGAATTAATTATATTTAGATAGTTCGTGGTCCATCAGAGTTACCTGCCTTTTTCTCACCAACAATTGATTACTACCATGTAGTTTAAGCAATGCTTCAACAAATCTGTATATTTTTTTCTTCTGTTTCCAGTATTGTTCTCCGTGATGTCCAAGAAGATTCACTACAAGAGAGGCAATCACCAATCACACACCAGGTGAATGTCGAAATCCTAGACCTAAAAACCCGTCCAACCAGATCGATGTTTAAAAGACATTAAACAGTTATCTCTTTACCACGCAACCATGAACCCTTTTGTAAATGGAAAGGCAACACAAAGTTCCATATTGGTTCTTACTTTTTTTGTGGAACTGTGATTAAGAGGAGACCCGGTGCCAACAATTATTAAACGTTAATGTCATTCCCCAAACGCCTTTAAAACGTTAACTAAGCGTGTTGACATTCGTGAATCATATTTCAAAGATAAATCAGAGCTCCATCTACCGCCACATCGTAAGTGATATTCTGCACGCATGGTGGATTTCCAGTGAAGGAAGTAAACTAGTCCGCAAAATCAGTTTGAATGTCAGAAAGACTTCATATCAATTTAGACTATACAAATACCTCATGTGAACATAATTTAATCAGATTACACATCCTTGGCAGCACTGCAACAGAATTTGCTGAGTCAGCTATTAGCATTTGCGTGGTTATCGCGGGTTATTCAAAGTAAAGGACACCAATGCAACAATGACGGTTCGGCTATGACACTGTGACGGTAGATGGGGTAGTAGGGGAAACTCGGGGGCGGGGACAAGGCGGACGGGAGAGGTAATTTTGGAGGCGGTTGGAAGGGGTGGGGTGGGGTGGGGTAGGTTGGTGGGAAGGGGGTGCAGCTTTGCTTCAATATGACTACACTTACAGTACAGCAGTAGAACTGGTTACACGAGTGTGTCCTAAAGTAAACCATTGAATGTATAATGACATACCTGGGCGTCAAATGGATCTCTTGTACGTTGCTATTCTTATGTACAAATGCTCGTCAAGATCGGGTTCCTTACAGCTGACTTGGTAACACAACTACGATGCTATACGCATAGCTGATTACATTCATGGTATCAATGCTGTTGAATTTATATTGCTTTAATATGTCTGACATCGATATTGAACTGCCCCAGAGTAATGTTGGGTATTGAGATGCCTCGCATTTCTTAAGCCATGTGTCATCTAGGTAGAGCGATACAGGGTATCAAGCCTGAAACATCAGTAGCAAAGGCTTGAAGTAACTTATCATGCAAGTGACTATTATCAGGCGTAGTTTGTCTTAATGCTCTGATTTAGACCCAGTGCAGCCTGTCTGGTTAGTTGCCATGACAACTTTTCCTGTTATATGCCCAACTCATTCTTTGATACAGAGAAAGCCCAGTGCATCCGACATGTTAATGAGTCCAAACCACTCTCTAACACCTTGGTCTAAGAAACTCATTTATAACTCAACTTATAACGTGTCCAAGGATACAGGGGTAAACCCAGTGAAGACGGTCTCTCTTTATCCCAGAATCATTCTGTGACATAAAAGAGTCTACGACCAATGGCATCAAGAGTAAGCTATAACTTCTAGGTTGTATACCGGTTCTATGAATAACGTCATGTAGTCTGTGTAAGTGCAGAAGCGTGATGGAACTAAGTAGCAAGACAAGTTATACTTAAGTGTTGATAATTACACCGATTCAAGCAGGATACGTCCCATGATATGATTAAGATGTTTGAGTGAGTGAGTTTAGTTTTACGCCGCTTTTAGCAATATTCCAGCAATATCACACAAGCAATAGCGGGGGGCACCAGAAATGGGCTGCACACTTTGTACCCATGTGGGGAATTGAACCCGAGTCTTCGGTGTGAAGGGTGAACGCTTCAACCACTAGGCTACCCCACCGCCCCGACGCATGTTTGAAATTCCTTCAGTGGAAGTATCGTTGTGGGTGATGAAGCAGCTCTCGGGGTGTGGTAGAACGCCATCAACCTTTTTCTCATGTGCACACAGGTCACGGCTATATGAACATTTATCCATCAAAGAAATTCATTGTGCAGCGAAGCGGTGCAAATTGAAAAAAATGCAGCTTCCTAAATGATTTCAGGTACCCGTTCTGGTGTCTGCATATGTGCACCCAGTTGTGTCTTTAGACGTATATGGACAGTTACCCATACGCATCAATACCTGACCTCTTAGCTGAACCCCTGACTGAGGAGTAAGCGTATCACAACCCGAACACTTATCTGTGACCTTACCACTATGTTTATGAGGAATTGGATCTGTACCCGTACCTCTAACTGTCAACGCATCTGTACCCGTATCTTACGTGGGAACGCATCTGTACCCGTTTCTTACGTGGGAACGCATCTGTACCCGTATCTTACGTGAGAACGCATCTGTACCCGTATCTTACGTGGGAACGCATCTGTACACGTATCTTACATGGTAACGCATCTGTACCCGTATCTTACGTGGGAACGCATGTACCCGTAACTTACGTAGGAACGTATCTGTACCCGTATCTTACGTGGGAACGCATGTACCCGTAACTTACGTAGGAACGTATCTGTACGGGAAAACGCAGCAGTACTTGAATCTTTGCCCGCGTGTAATAGGGATTTTGTGTTTTGAATCTAATGTTTAAAAGTTCTTCAAGACGCTGTACAGGCATAGATTTAAACCAATTCCCAACACTATCACTCACTCAAGCTATATTCATTACAATGCAGTGGTTGATATTTAGATACACAACCACCAGTCTACGCCATTTCAGGTAGACGTCACATGTACACAGATCAACAGACCTATTAGAAAGCTTAACTTGAAACTGAAGTTCACGTAACGACGATGTAGTGCGTCAAGTGGGGGTATACCACCGGGTATTCAGCCCCCCGAATCAGCCAGCCATAGCGTTACGGTTAAGAAACCCTGCTGTACAGAGCCCAGACGTTCTCACGACCGCGGATAATACAAGCACCCGGGTGTAGCAATGTTCAGAGTTTGATTTCAAAGAAGACATCAGCCGTGCATTATGTTTTGGCTTCTTTATAGCAACTGTATGGGGGAAGGCACTACTTACCGCTTCAAAAGGACCTGTCATGCTATATACCCACAATCAGGGTCAGTTGACACCGGCATTTAGCCCAGAGTTAGGATATACGATATGAAATATTCAACAACCACAGTTAATGCATTTTATTATACGCTTCAACGGGTTTGCTACAGAGAATATCAAATGCATATTGTTGGAAAATTTACGTATGGTACATGTTAAATGGGTCTCCGTTTTGTGTATACGAGACATGTACCTGCAAGTGAAATATAATGAGTCCATGACAGGTTTCTACCCATACGGCCTTCGGTGTCACAATCGTGGAGTACTTGCTCATTGGTGTGAGGCACAAAAATGTGTTGACGCAGCATTACACTCGATTTCGATACACCATATTTTAAAAATAAATAAATAAACGGTTTGTACTAAGTTACATTTGAATAAACAGTCTTGGGACGTGGTATGACAAGATAAGACGGGCCTTCCATTATTTACTATTCACGGTATTCAAGGTATTATTTACGGTATTCAATGTGTGCGACTATCCTGAGAAGAGTTGACTGGTACAATAGATTGAACAGTTATGGAATAGTTTAAAAGAATGAATGTGGTCTTTTTGTCAGCAACCATGCCAATTCTTCATTTCCATGATTGAACAGTTACACTTTTGGCGGAACTAAAGCATATCAGCAAATATGAACATTAAAATGCGTGCCAAAATCAAAATATGACAGTATTAAAAGTATATATCAAGTAGGAAAGATGAAATTATATTTTTTTAAATCAGCTATTTTTATAATGACAGTTTATGAAGATTTTTGTTTGTATGGCAGTTATGTGGTTTATGGCCTATGGTTTACTGTAAAATATAATATCACAGGATGAATTAGATAAAAGAAGAGGTGATAAATTTAGGTGTGTTGTAAAGATTGGCATTCTTGCACTCGAGCAAGCGCTTCATAATGCAGGGGAAGTAACTCTAACAACCCTCGAGTTCAGTGACAGCTCTCCTCACGTTATCTCTAAAGACTTTATTGTATATAATAAAACAACATATAAAATGTAGAAAGGAATTTTTTTCAAAGAAAGTGAAAATAATTTTATGCAAAAGAAAACCGCTCTTGACAACAGGCGCCCATGCACGGTGAGTGTATGCTTAGGTCGGTGTAACTAAAAGCATCACCGGGTATACATTCATCCGCGCATGCGTGTCACTATCATCTGATGACGTCATAGTGCAATTTTATCAGATGATAAAAGCGTGGTGGATAATACCACGTCATATGTCAATCATAGTATATACACAACAACTTTCATGCCACCACGATACATATAATTCATTACATATTCTGTTTTAAATCATCCATTTATATATAAATGACTCACTGGGACAACAAAATGACGTTTTAAGGGGAAACATTTCATATTCTTTTTATTTATATTTTCAGATGAGGAAGGAATTTGATAGCCCTTCACCCGGATACATCAGCCCTGAACATGTATATTCGGGCTGGACGTTTTACAACTTTGTCAAACGATGTCAATATCTCAAGAACTGAGGGCTGTATAGAAGAAATGACGTTCATGATGAAATTATCTGAAATATGAAGTTCGAGAAGGGAATTAAAATGTATTTATGAAATAGGAATATTCGTCAACCGGTGATTCGACATATGCTTATACTGTGAATCACGTGCCATTGTATAATTAGAACGTTTATCACCAAATCTATTTTATTTTACTCTGCACAACTGCAAAACAATTACGCAATGACATATACCCGGAATTGTAATTTGAATTATCTTGATTTGAATAAAACTTCCGAATATACTAGTGAATATGTTGTGTTGTGTCTGGTATATATCCTTACTTCCCCTACATTGACACCCATCATCTCCTTCCCCTACACTGACACCCTCATCCACTTCCCCTACATTGCCGCCCTCATCTCCTTCCCCTACACTGACACCCTCATCCACTTCCCCTACATTGACACCCTCATCTACTTCCCCTACACTGACACCCTCATCTACTTTCCCTACACTGACACCCTCATCTCACTTCCCCTACATTGACACCCTCATCCACTTCCCTTACATTGACACCCTCATCTCCTTCCCATACATTGACATCCTCATCTCCTTCCCCTACACTGACACCCCTCATCTACTTCTTCTACATTGACACCCCTCATCTACTTCCCCTACATTGACACCCCTCATCCACTTCCCCTACACTGACACCCCTCATCTACTTCCCTACACTGACACCCTCATCTACTTCCCCTACACTGACACCCTCATCTACTTCCCCTACATTGACACCCTCATCTACTTCCCCTACACTGACACCCTCATCTACTTCCCCTACATTGACACCCTCATCCACTTCCCCTACACTGACACCCTCATCTCCTTCTACATTGACACCCTCATCTACTTCCCCTACATTGACACCATCATCCACTTCCCCTACACTGACACCCTCATCTACTTCCCCTACATTGACACCCTCATCTACTTCCCCTACATTGACACCCTCATCCACTTCCCCTACATTGACACCCTCATCTACTTCCCTACATTGACACCCTACATCATCTACTTCCCTACATTGACACCCTCATCTACTTCCCCTACATTGACACCCTCATCTACTTCCCCTACATTGACACCCTCATCTACTTCCCCTACATTGACACCCTCATCTACTTCCCCTACATTGACACCCTCATCTACTTCCCTACATTGACACCCTCATCCACTTCCCCTACATTGACACCCTCATCCACTTCCCCTACACCCTTGACACCCCTCATCCACTTCCCCACATTGACACCCCCATCCACTTCACCCTCATCCCACTTCCCCTACATTGACACCCCATCCACTTCCCCTACATTGACACCCTCATCTACTTCCCCTACATTGACACCCTCATCTACTTCCCCTACATTGACACCCTCATCAACTTCCCCTACACTGACACCCTCATCTACTTCCTCTACATTGGCACCATCATCCACTTCCCCTACACTGACACCCTCATCTACTTTCCCTAATAATAATAATAAGTCATCTTATTCTTATTACCCCGGATAACCCAAGCTGCCCGTTAGGCGCTAGAAGGTTATAGTCACATGACTTTATCCAACCGAGTACCCACTTTCTGCTGGGTGAACAGAGGCAGTTTTGAACAAACTCACTTGCCTGAGGTGAGACCACATGTATCACATGTGCTTCGTTGTGGGGCAGGACTTAAGTCCTAGAAACTCTCAGGAGCTGCCAAACACGGTCACCCATCCAAGGACTGTCCGAGCTCGACGTTGCTTAACTTCAATTGATTCGTGACCTGAGCTGTGTGAACAGGACCACACGCCACCTACACTGACACCATCATCTACGTCCCCTACATTGACACCATCATCTACCTCCCCTACACTGACACCATCATCTACTTAACCTACATTGACACCATCATCTCATACGTCATTGCTAACATTTCCTGATAATTTTGTCTATCATTATTGATAGCATCAGTAGACGTCGTATCTGTAGATCAATGCTCATGATATCAGCTATTGGATTGTCTGGTCCAGACTCGATTATTTGTTGATCGCCTTCACAAAGCTGGAATATGGTTTAGTGCCGCGTTCACAACAAACAAACTATCAGTAAATGCGACAGTTGCACACACAGATGGAAACAATACAATATTTAACTTATATAAATCTTATAACAGTCATATTCGTTTTCTATTTTCAACAATCACATTTCTTTACACTCAAATACAAAGAATCCATAATGATTATGTGCATGCCATATGCGATTCCTTCTATATGTTAGCAGTATAAACGTATAACTTGTGATATTTAAAGAGCATTTCTTTTTCATTTAATGGTAATGTTATCATTTACATTTTGGAAGGGCGAAGTAACTCTGTTGAGGTGTATCATAACAGCGGTCCACAAACAAGTGCAGATTGATTTGTTAAATCGTTATCGCGTGGTATATTACATGAAGCGTACTGAAAATCATTGGTTATACACTACAAGTGCTGCTGATTTGACCAGCCTTAGATCGAAGTGTCCAATATATTAATCTTTATATATATTTTATTTGTTTCTCATTTTCTGAGTGAGCGAACATCACCATGGAGGACACCAGACATCCATGGGCGTTACACATTGTCAATGGGCTTCAAACATTGTACCCATGTGGGGAATCGAACCCGGGTCTTCAGCGTGACGAGCGAACGCTTTAACCACTAGGCTACCCCACCGCCTCTCATTTTCGTTATTGCAATCTTCAACTTGAAACTATTGTAAGCTTATTATTGTAAGTGCTGTATAGGATATATTTGTTGCAGGATCTATGTAACAGACTTCGTAATCGAGCTAAGCTTTAAAGGCCCAGCATAGTGTAACGGCGAATAACCTTCCTTAAAACCGTATCTGCAGAACACAAAACGTATTCGGTGTATATAAGCACGTGAAAATAACAATCATCGTTAGGGCTTATTGAACCCACAGTTTACGCACACACATTGAATAAACATATTAGACCAATGAGAATATGCACACAAACCCCGATGTGCACAGTCTTTGAAAATCATATCGCGATGTCGGACTAACGTTTTAGGAGACACCAAATTATACACATTGTTTGTGAAATCCACAAGCAGCGAAGTGGATGAAAATTGTCTGTTTTTACGATCAACACGGCACTAAACAATTGTCCAGTCGTATAACGGCGGTCTGTAAATAATCATGAGTGAGTGAGTATGGTTTAACGCCGCTTTTAGCAATATTCCAGCAATATCACGGCTCGGGACACCAGAAATGGGCTTCACACATTGTACCCATGTGGGAATCATCCGCATTGCCTTCGGAGTGACGAGCGATCGCTTTAACCACTAGGTTACCCCACCGCTCCTGTAAATAGTCATGTCTGGACCAGACAAGTGATTGATACCATGAGTCACGTCCAGCGATGACATGCATTCAGCCAGGTCACCTTGCCTAACCACCCGTTCCATTCAGTGTCTCCTCATAGGTGAGGTGAGGTGAAATTGGGTTTATTTGAGAATATTTCGCTCATATGACGACGTGCATGTGTGTGTATGTGTATGTGCGGCTGCTTGTACTAGCCCAGACTTAAGCTGGTTTTATAGTGCTAGCCCACTTAGATACCATGCTGCAGTGAAGCATGAATACCCCACTCAGACACATTATACTGACTCCGAGCCGACCAGTTGTACCCATTAATGCCGAGCGCCAGGCAGGGACCAACAAGTACCATATTTTAACGTCTTTTGGTATGACGCGGCCGGGGATCGAACCCGCGACCTTCCGCTCTCTGCGCGGACGCTCTAACCACTACACCAATGAGGCGGTCAGTGTCTCCTCATAACCCCACGAGGAAGCTGTATAAAATGGAGAAGGCCGGGAATGTAATTCAGCGATTCAAACACTTGATCCCTCGAGTGAATGAGTGAGTGAGTTGAGTTTTACGACGCTTTTAGCATTATTCCAGCAATATTCCATGAGCCTGGTTCGACTAACAGGTCATCACGGAGAGAAACTGGTGAGACGAATAACACAGCATTTGGAACATATGGCCAAGTTCATGTTCCCATGCTGTTTAATTATCATAATTTTCAATAAGAACCTACTTTAGAATTTGGCGTCAGAGAAAGGGTAATAAAATTGGACAAGCCTCCGTTGAAATCGCATAAAAATGACACATATAGGGGAAGTAATATTTATAGCGTTTTTATACATCAATAAAGTTCTCCCCCACCATACCCTATTATCATGGCCACCGTAAGACTGGTGCCTGAATGTTGAACAGTGCCTGAGCACTAGGTACTCCTTCAAGATATACGAATATATTGCCTGTTGCACTCGGTTACTTTACATTATCCACGCAAATCGTACGACTTATACCTGACGTCTTTAGGTAGCATTTAGAAGCTGGTATTGATACTTTTATGGATAGACATCTTCTTTATTGCAATGGATGCTATCAAAACATTGTACCGCTTCAGACTTGTAAATGATACAATCTTTAAAAAGAATTCATACAAAAGACAGAAACATAATCCTTCACATTTATATAATCTATATGGACCGTATTTGGGATAATGAACATGTGACAAAGCACTTATAATAAAATTAAAATTGCTTAAGTTCACCTGATGAAGGGGCAAGAAGTAGCCCAGAAACGTCGTGTTGTAAATATTAAGGAAGTTGTAAATCCATACCATACGTTGTTGTGCTTAAGTTGTATCACATATTGGTTAGATTAATATCTGCAGTTTGTAAGCAGTCTTGATAAAATATAATATAAAGGAACCCGGATATTCTCATTTTCAGAAAGGGGCGGTGGCTTAGCCTAGTGATTAAAGCGTTGGTTCGTCACGCCAAAGACCCGGGTTCGATTCCCCACATGGGTACAATGTGTGACGTCCATTTCTGGAATATTGCCAAAAGCGGCGTAAAACCATACTCACTCACTGACTCATTTTCAGAAGATGCAATTATTGTACATATAAAGGGTGTGTGCTGTATTGGATGTTTGTTACGAGTTACCGGAACAATAATAAGGGTGTGTGCTGTATTGGATGTTTGTTACGAGTTACCGGAACAATAATAAGGGTGTGTGCTGTATTGGATGTTTGTTACGAGTTACCGGAACAATACGAGTTGGACCGGGTGTGTGCTGTATTGGATGTTTGTTACGAGTTACCGGAACAATAATAAGGGTGTGTGCTGTATTGGATGTTTGTTACGAGTTACCGGAACAATAATAAGGGTGTGTGCTGTATTGGATGTTTGTTACGAGTTACCGGAACAATAATAAGGGTGTGTGCTGTATTGGATGTTTGTCACGAGTTACCGGAACAATAATAAGGGTGTGTGCTGTATTGGATGTTTGTCACGAGTTACCGGAACAATAATAAGGGTGTGCGAGTGTATTGATGTTTGTACACGAGTTACCGGAACAATAATAAGGGTAGTGCTGTATTGGATGTTTGTTACGAGTTACCGGAACAATAAAGGTAACGTTTCATTTGAACAATAGGCACAATAATAACGTTTTCATTCGACAGTGGAAATCACGTATCATTATACTAGTATACTATTTCGCACAGACTCTTGAGCTATGTGATTGGACAGGTGTGGTCGCGTATCAACAATCCTAATCTAACCATATGTGAGCAACAAAGGTTTGTGTTCGCAAGTACGTTACCTGTGATGACTTTGACGTCATGGTGGCGAGGGTCAGTGAAAGAGTTTCTTGTTAGATACACATACTTATGTATACGAAACAGGGGTAGGCATACCATAAACCAAGGTAAAAGCATAAATCATTCCAAGTGGAAATTACATGTACATGTACATTGAAACGGTAGACTTGAGAATCACAGTTAAATACTGGTTTCTGAGAAAGACGCACACAGCAGTATCGTTCTACCTACTTCCTTTAATTGATGTAGGGTTTGGATTGGTTTCGCCCTAATTACTGTTACGGTTCCGTTTAAGATTATTTTTTATTAACAAATAATTTTAAATTTAATTTTAAAACCCAAGTAACCTAAGTATTTTTGACGCGATGTCACATTCCAGAAACTACTTGGGCGTTTTATGTTGTGTAATAAATTTATATCAAAGCGCATGCCAACTGTGTTTATTCACAAAGGTGTGCACGATTTTTTAGAACCACGATTATGTATAATTGAGAATGGCATTAAATTTTGAATAGGATCCTGCCTTGCGTCTTTGATCATAGGTATGTTAGCCAGGGTTGTAATATTTATGGGCATTTCTTTCAAACACATTGAGCGGAAATCCTGTGTTAAAACATCGTGATGCACATGTCACGGGACGATGAAACACACCATAGAGGGTACATAAGATAATACATAATCTTGTCAAGTGTTCGTGACTCGTTTGTATACCGATAGGCGTGCTAGCTTCCTAAATGTGCTACTGCGCACAAACGTATCTTTATTGTTACTATCACGTTCAGCTGATATCGAACTTCACTTCTTGCTATATTGCATGCATATATATTGTATGTGTATACATAGCCACATATCTCTATGTGTGTACAGGCAGGTGATGCAATAAGTGACACATTGGTAACTAAGGTATATTGACTGACAGATCGGAGGATATACTAAAAAGTCTCTCTCTCTCAAATTCATAGCGTCTATACAACCAGTTAAACAGTTGTCCATCCAGTTTTGTGACATTACCTTGGGCACTGCGCCCGATGCCAGAAGACTATGAAATTGTACAAGAATCAGTTCTCTTGTCCGGTCTTGACAAGTTATATTATTTTCTGAAAATCAACGGGACATAAATGATCCCGAACAGTTGGTGAGCGATGGGTCCGGATTAACAGGGTTATACTGTCCGGTCATAGGTTTTCTGAATAACGGTAATTCATATCGACATAGCCTGCAAACTATTTACTTGCCAGCTGCAAATCGGACTCATCACCATCAGTGTAACGTACTATTTACTTGGAAAGCTTAGATTTAACTTGATAAAATTTAATGAAAAGAGCCAAGTTGCTCTCTCCATTTTCCTTGCAGTAATCTAGACTTGATATATAACTATTAACTTTCACGGGCATTTTTGGATATATTTGTTTCGGGTTCTGTTTGAGGCCCCATTTCATTATATTTTACGATTATTTTTAAAGAATAGTTTTCTTCTGTATAATATATTCATTTCAGAGAGTAGATGTTAGTCTATACTGCAGCTATTTCATGACATAATAAAACAGTAAATTTAACAACCTAAGAAAGCAAATTATGTAAAATCCCTGCTATTTAAATTATGCTTATATGTTTAGGATACCTTTTGAAGAAATATTTCATCAAACATAGGTCCACATTAAAAAAAAAAAAATTGTTTCTAATCACTTTTTCAAAAACTTTGGGGTCAGGCGAGCGGATTTTATTTTTACTTTTTATCTTATTTTATGTCCAAGACCCTTGATTTGTTGGAAATTTACACCTTTTCTCAGATAGAAAATCAAAACTTAGAAGTGTGAAAAATTCATGCACATTTTGAGTCAAAGTTGCATTTTCTCTAGTGTAAAAATTTACAATCTTAGGGTCGGGTCGAATCTTTGGGTCGGGCGGTAATGAGAAACAAGCATATTTTTATATATGGCCTAAGGGGAAATAATTTGACATCTGAAAACGAATAGTCGAGTTTCGAACTCGCGTTCTTGCATCATGCATGGCTGACGTGAAGACATGATGAAAACAGTCGAACACAGGTGTGCTGGATGACTCAGCTATCAGTAACGCACGATCCGTTCTCCTGGCGGTGTCATGTTTCCTCATAAGGGCCTATTTTCCACGTCGTTGTCAGATACCGTTTGAAACGGAGCACCAAGAATGCCGCGGAAGCATCACAATGACAAGGGGTAGGGCCATTTGTTGTAACAGCATGATGTAGGTGGGTATTTTGTTGCAACAGCCAAACAGGCAACTGAATGAAGCGCCTGAGAAATCTCCATCGGTTTACTTAGATTTTGTTTCAGTCGCGTTTTTTCTCAATTTCGAAAACATGTACAAGTACATTGATTTGTTTTTAATTTAGCAATATATATCCACATATAGCATTATTTATCCATATATATTTATTGAATTTAATTGCATTTGTGCATTAAAATCATTAGTGTATTTTTGTTGATAAGCTACAGGTATTAACGATGGCAATTATGAGTGATTCTGGAGAAGTAACAAAACGGATTTATTGATTTTTGTGACATGGTGCAACAATTAAACAAATAGTTGTATGTATATATTACAAAAATATTTCCGTGTTCACAGGCTGACATAGTTGAAATAGTTCTACCTTCCCGCTTGTCACGTGAATATGCACATTGACAAATGTCACTCCCTTGTCAATCCTAGCGGAGTGACACAACTAACGGGTGTAATGTGGCTCCGTCGTCACGTGACCACGGAAGTTGAAAGTCATGACACTTATATCACCCAGTTCTCTGGTATGTGGAGACCGTGTCAAAAGAGGCTTTTGAAACATTTCATAAGGAAATCCGTGTTATTTAAGTTTTATCCATATTAATTGTTTCGTTGCGTGCTGGGTGATCATTAATGTACGAGACAATGTTTCCGCATCATACCATCACATTTGCAAATAATAATCTGGAAACTACGTTAATTAATATAGAGGTAGACAGATATAGTGCCTGAAATAATATATTACACAATAATTTAAAATTTTAAAAGAATACGTAATATTATGGAAAAATTTAGCTAACAGGATAAGAATAATTCAAATTTTAATACGTATCATTGAATCATACGCAGATGCGCAGGTATAAGATTAAAATAGTAGTTATGTTCTGAATATGGAGACTTTATTAAGAATAAAATAATTAGGAATGATTTTATGGTTAGAGTATATCAATAGATAATCCGGAATCAGTGTTTACAATTAAATATTACATACACTTGTATGAGTGAGAGTATGGTTTACGCCGCTTTTGGCAATATTCCAGCAATTCCGCGGAGGGAGACACCAAAAATGGGCTTCAAATATTATACCCATGTGGGGAATCGGACCCAGGTCTTCGGCGTGAGGAAGGACCCTTTAACCACTAGGCTACCCCACCGCCCCGCATACACTTGTGTAAACAAAAACGTAAATAATTAGGTGTAATCATTTATATGATCGTTTGTTGTTGTGTTATAACTAGCACCTAATTAGATGTTTCACATATGTCACTTTATTTCACTTGAGAAACAGGGTCTTACTTAAAGAGTGACTGCTGAAAACAACCATCTTATGTCTTAATATAAAAGATGACATCTTGCCCACATTTCTCCATGCTTAAAGTATACTCAACAAAACAATTAACGACCATCCCAATTTTCAATATTAAAGTATTTAATAGTTTATGTTATAATCCATATAATACTCAAATATTGAATATTGGGGTGGTCCTTAATTTTATTTGTTGAGTATACATCGTTTGCCCCTTAGTCAGGATCATTCATCGAGGAACTTTCTCACCGGGCATGAGGGGTTAAAGAACACATAGTGTAGGTAAATATCAAACACTTTAGCCTGTAGGTACACACATGACAGCAACAGTGGAGATAGGCAGGAGTACGGACTTTTTTAACATCCGGGTTCAGGTAGCATGTCGTGACGATAGTGTTAGTTTATGGGTGGTGTAGATATATCGTATCGGGTGCTCATGTCTCAACTGACATGATAACCCGGATGGTGTTATAGGAGATGACTTTGATAAAACGCGTGGGTAGGACTCAAGTGATGTGTCCATATATACTCTCACGTTGCTTCTGTTATGTAAATGACCCCGTTTTACAGCTAGTGTGGGTATCATGTCATGGGATGCCGGATGATGTTGGTTCCCAGCCACCTATACCCGTCATACCAGTTCACTGAACGGACTGGGTGGGGTGACGCTGGGACTGGGATGTATGCATGTCATGTTACCCCGACGTATTGGGACCCTGATCAGATCACTGGTCTGTCTGGTCCAGATAGCTTGTTTTTGGTCACTCTTGTGTGTTGTTTAACGCCGCACTCAGTATGGCGTGTGCAATAAAGGACAGTATAATCCAGTGATTGATATGATGAACAACAAAGAACAATGATGACTCTCAATCATTCTGTTCGCCGAGTCTGACCACCCGTGCCTTTAGACCCCCGCATGCAAATGTTCCTGGTAACCTATGACCGTGTTGGAATTCCCAACCGCGTCTGCCGTCCCTGTTACACCACATGCAAACGATTTAGCAGGGAGATTACATAGACTAGTGTTAATTAGGCAACCACGTTGTTTATAACAGTTTCTCAATATATATAAGACCACTGTGTATATTATAACATTTTCGTATCAAACACATCAGTATCAAACGTCTCACGCCATTGTATTGTCTTAAAGTACCACATACAAGCAAGAAATTTCGGTACTACTCTTTTCCTGGTTTCAATCAAGTTCACCATCCTCCATTCAGTCCCTTATATCAGAGACCATATCTATTACTAGTATATGGTCTCTGCTTATATACATCGCATTCAACCGTTAATGTATATGGATGCCATGTTCGAAAAATAAAAATATAATAATCATGTTTATTGCCCTAATATAACAAACCGTTTTACTCCGGCATTCTTAAAGGAGGGAAACAATCAATTCACCAGTTATCTTTAACATGTAACATTTCACTAATTATCGTTGACAACCATATTTGATATGGTTTGCAGCTTTATACTATTCTCATCAAACCCTGAAACCAAATGTCCCTACAGTCCGTACGATGCATATGAAATCCTGCATCAGTGAAAGCATTGTTGCAGAACGAGGTCAAATAAAGGCTGCAGGGAGGTGTCGGGTTCTCCAGCTCTCCTTGTGGGGATGGGGTGGGGATGGGGAAGGGGTGTTCCCCTGTAAGTGTAAACCTTATAGATTCACCACTGTACCAATGAATCAGAGAGTAGCTGCTGGTTTAACTGAGGAGCTCTGACCGTTCCGCCTCAGTTGGTCACGTGATGGAGAGGGACTTATCACGTGATTGAGGTGTGTTTCACGTACCTGCCGTGCAGTATTGTGTCGATGCGTCTTGCATACATATTTTATATCGTAGCTAAAACCGTCAAAGAAGCTGTTATCTAATTGATTCCTTGATTATATGTTACATCATTTTGATTATGTACATCAGGGGCATTACTGCTGTAGATTTCGGCATTACTGCTGTAAATTTCGGCATTACTGCTGTAGATTTCGGCATTATTGATGTACATTTGGCATTACTGCTGTAGATTTCGGCATTATTGATGTACATTTTGGCATTACTGAAGTAGATTTCGGCATTACTGAAATAGATTTTTGGCATTACTGCTGTAGATTTCGTGATTATTGATGTACATTTTGGCATTACTCAAGTAGATTTCGGCATTACTGAAATAGATTTTGGCATTACTGCTGTAGATTTCGGGATTATTGATGTACATTTGGGCATTACTGATGTAGATTTTAACACATCACGAGTTCAATTCCTATCAGTGTTTGTGTTTATCGTCCTCATCAGCATGATCGTGACCTCGGTTAAAGCTATTGTGTAATAATCATTATGGATGACACCATCAGACGTTTATAGACTTTATCGCCTCCCCAGGCTTGTTGCATTGTTGCGTTGTCATGAACGTCATCATGATAAATGTGTTGTTATCGTCGTGTACTGGGGTGAACTTCATCCAACACCAGCAGTAGGGATTTACCAGCGGACGAACAGCGTTGTTTTTCTTCAGTGCATAAATAAACATGCTTTAATCATTGAGAACCTGGGGAACAGGGTTTGGGGGCACCTAGGGAACAGGGTACATGTATCACTGGGAACCTGGGGAACAGGGTTGGCTCACATGTATAACTGGGAACAGGGTTGGCTCACATGTATCACTGGGAACCGCGGGAACAGGGTTGGTTAACATGTATAACTGGGAACCTGGGGAACAGGGTTTGGGTATATGTATCACTGGGAACCTGGGGAACAGGGTTATGTATCACTGGGAACCTGGGGAACAGGGTTTGGGTATATGTATCACTGGGAACCTGGGGAACAGGGTTTGGGTATATGTATCACTGGGAACCTGGGGAACAGGGTTTGGGTATATGTATCACTGGGAACCTGGGGAACAGGGTTTGGGTATATGTATCATGGGAACCTGGGGACTGGGAACCTGGGGGAACAGGGTTGGGGTCATATGTATAACTGGGAACCTGGGAACAGGGTTTGGGTATATGTATCACTGGGAACCTGGGAACAGGGTTGGGGTATATGTATAACTGGGAACCTGGGGAACAGGGTTTGGGGTATCACTGGGAACCTGGGGAACAGGGTTGGGTTTGGAGCATATGTATCACTGGGAACCTGGGGAACAGGGTTTGGGTATATGTATCACTGGGAACCTGGGGAACAGGGTTGGCTCACATGTATAACTGGGAACCTGGGGAACAGGGTTTGGGTATATGTATCACTGGGAACCTGGGGAACAGGGTTTGGCTCCCATGTATAACTGGGAACCTGGGGAACAGGGTTTGGGCACACGTATCACTGGGAACCTGGGGAACAGGGTTGGCTTAAATGTATAACTGGGAACAGGGTTTGGCTCCCTGGGGAACAGGGTGGGTATCACTGGGAACCTGGGGAACAGGGTTTGGGTATATGTATCACTGGGAACCTGGGGAACAGGGTTTGGGTATATGTATCACTGGGAACCTGGGGAACAGGGTTTGGGTATATGTATCACTGGGAACCTGGGGAACAGGGTTTGGCTATATGTATCACTGGGAACCTGGGGAACAGGGTTGGCTAACATGTATAACTGGGGAACTGGGTATGGGTACATGCATCACTGGGAACCTGGGGAACAGAGTTGGGGCACAAGTATCACTGGGGCACATGTATCACTGAACACCTTAGAGAGCAAGGAGAGTCACATGCATCTTTGGAAACCGCAGGGAACGGGGTTGGGGAACATGTGTCACAGGGAACCTGGGTTAAAAGGTCTGGTGCACTTGCATCATTAGAAACCTCAGAACACAGGAAACCTGGGGAACAGGGTTGGAGCACGTGTGTCACAGGGAACCTCGGTTATCGGGATTGGGGCACATCCATCATTGGTAACCCGAGATAACAGCGCAGGGACACATGCATAGCTGTGAAGCGGAAAGCGTTTGGGACGTAAGTCTGCCGCTGAACCATTCTGTTAACACGAATCCTAACATCAGAATACTACATGAAATCGATCGAAACAATACATGACAATTCCATTTTCGATTCTCGATTAGTTAGATTTGTTGATCTAACCTGTTGGACAATGTTGAATCACATTCTAGTATGTCGTAGTGTTGCCTTCACCGTGGCGACAAATAATGTCACTTTGCTTATGATGCTAATATATCATATTTGTCATGAATAAATAAACCGTCAATATCAGGGGATCCGCATGTGTTAAGGGGTTTACTCTGCCAATATTCCGTACCAGACAAGAGCTATTCATTGTCAGCTTCAAAGTTACAGTTTGATAATACAACATACACACTGGTTAATATCCTTTGGGATTTCTTATTTGAAAATTGTAGACATTGCCAACACCGTTTGTAAAGATAATGTTTGTATATTATCACGTAAACTGTATATACAAATAGACAAATGAACAAATAGACAAACTGAACTGTGTGATGTTTCGTTTTGAGAGAAAGCAGAGGTATGTGTCGCTGAATGATGTTTCGGGGATACAGAGACATTGCATGTATCATCACAAAAAAAAGGAAGGGGGGAGGGAGGGGGGAACAGAGTGAGGGAGAGACAGACGATGGTATTCAGCAGTTTGTACAGTGGTTGTGAGTACGTTTAGAATTGGGGTTTGGGGGAGAGAAAGGGGGAGAGAGAAGAGACAGAGAGAGAGAGAGAGAGAGAGAGAGAGGGGCGATGTTATTCAGCAATGGTACAGTGGTTGTGATCACTTTTAGAATTACTTTTATAATGCATCCTCCGATCTCTCAGGTAATTTTTTACCTAATTACCAATGTCTCACTTCTTGCAACACTTGGAGCTAGTCCGTGGAACACAGTCCCTCTCTAAACGTCTATTTTATTCCAGTTTAGGTATAGGGCAATAAATCAGCTCCCGATGTGCCCTATTTAGGCTATGAAATGCCCGGTCACCTGACAACGCCGTGCCTTCCTTCCGATATGTATATCTGTGACGTACTATCTATAGTAGACCCAGGTACACGTAAACATGGAACAGAGCACCAATGAGGTGATCCCCGCAGTAGTCGAGTGCAGTGAGACCCGCTCTCCATTCATGAGCTTACGTCATCTGAGAATGTGTCACCTGCACTTGTAGTTGACATGCACGTGACGTCATTACGATGCGTGGGTGTGCGAACAGTTCACCAGGCCGGATTCTTTGAATACACGCGTGTTTACAAACGCCACTTGGAAGCCCTGATTAGGTTAACAGATGTCGGTGTGTGTAATATACAGAACATATCGTATATCATCATGAAGTGGACACGGTTCATTCAGGTGGGCACCATGGTGATGGTCAGCCTTTGAACCATAAGCTTAGATATATAATGGTCTCTTTATGTTACTGTTATCCCCCTGGGGTCCTGTCACGTGTTGCTGGGGGAGATTATTGTCGGAGTGACAAAAAACAGCCACAGGGTCGATGTTGGTGTCCAGACTTGCTGCGCATGAATTTGCCTTGATATCTCGCTGAAGTCTCGTATAACGTGTACAGACATATTCGCTTCACCTCCCTGCTAGGGGTCTGGTTGGATTGAGTGTATGTTCAAGTCATCCATAAACCCAAGAGAGTGAGTGAGTGAGTATGGTTTTACGCCGCTTTTAGCAATATTCCAGCAATATCACGGCGGGGGACACCAGAAATGGGCTTCACACATTGTACCCATGTGGGGAATCGAACCCGGGTCTTTGGCGTGACGAGCCAACGCTTTAACCACTAGGCTACCCCACCGCCACCCCTAAAACCCAAGGAGGTATATACCCATGTCGATGGTTGCTAACAAGAAATGTTTATTCGAAGGGGATGTATTTGATATGGTACCATATAGCTGTCTTTTGACCATAAAGCTTGCATTATTTTAGCGACCAGTTTCAAGACAGTAACGTCTTGATTCCGTTGTAAATGTTTGGTCTGATCCGATTTTCAAGTGTTTATTTTGTCCGACAGTTTATTTACAACAATAAGAGCAAGTTGATAAACACCCTTAGCGCGGCTGTATAACCCGTATCCTTTGGCGGCCAGTAAACACAAGTAATCAAGTCTGGGTAAGACAAACAAGTGGTCGATACCACGAGCAACTCTCAGCCAGGTCATACCTTATTGTTAATCAGCTTTCCACAACAATAATTGGAAACTAGTGACACATTTTACCTATAGAGGTCCTGAAACTGACATTAAGTCCAGGAAATATAAATATTATACATAGAAAGCTTATAGCAATTCCTAGAACCGAGGCAATCGACACTTGATGATACAGGCTTGAGCTGGACTCTTACACTTTTTATTCTAGAGTCTGGGAGACTAGGTGATGATGGTTACTCTGTCTCACAGTCCCTGAGCCACCTTGTTCTTCCCTAATGCCTTGCCCTCCCTGCAATGCTAAAGCCCTAAATGAAGCAAGTCTAGATTTACCCAGGTTCATGTTCTGTATTTTCCATCTGACTGGGGATTCTGTTACTATTTGTTACTATCAAAATTATATATATTCTGGTACTACGCGTTAGTCTAGGTGATGGTCTTCGTAGTGTGGATGCTGCCTGGTGTGGTGAGGCCTGAAGCACAGCGATATGTGCACTGTCCTAACAAAGGCCATGCGTCAATCACTCCAATAAACCTCCCACAGAAACAGCCGGGATTTTATATCAAAGAACGATCAGGTTTACACCACTTACATCCTGTCCAGGGGGCCCCGGGGCTCCTATTAACTGCCTCTGTTCAGACGGATATCTTCCTGAGATCATAAGTGACCAATGTCCAGCCTACGGTCACTTTGTCATCATATTACACTAATCCAGTCAGCCATCAGATGACCTGTAGGCCTGGCGAACATCTCATTGTTATTTGTCATGGACACGTCGTCACATTCCTTTAGGACCTAATAATTCCCCCACAGATAAGCATAGTACCTCAGTGGGCCTGCACTACACTAGACTAACACTTTATCTCGGAATATATGTATATTAAATGAGCTCCAGTGACATGGGAGTTTGTGTGGAAAATCTAGTTTTTCTCCATTCAAGACTTTCTCATTATAGAATTGCTATGTTGTCCACGAGCTGACGGACATGTTTGTAACTTGCTGTCCACGAGCTGACGGACATGTTGTTTGTATGTTGCTGTCCACGAGCTGACGGACATATTGTTTGTATGTTGCTGTCCACGAGCTGACGGACATATTGTTTGTACGTTGCTGTCCACGAGCTGACGGACATATTGTTTGTATGTTGCTGTCCACGAGCTGACGGACATATTGTTTGTATGTTGCTGTCCACGAGCTGACAGACATATTGTTTGTATGTTGCTGTCCACGAGCTGACGGACATGTTGTTTGTATGTTGCTGTCCACGAGCTGACGGACATATTGTTGTTTGTACGTTGCTGTCCACGAGCTGACGGACATATTGTTTGTACTGTCCACGAGCTGACGGACATATTGTTTGTATGTTGCTGTCCACGAGCTGACGGACATATTGTTTGTATGTTGCTGTCCACGAGCTGACGGACATATTGTTTGTATGTTGCTGTCCACGAGCTGACGGACATGTTGTTTGTATGTTGCTGTCCACGAGCTGACAGACATATTGTTTGTATGTTGCTGTCCACGAGCTGACGGACATATTGTTTGTATGTTGCTGTCCACGAGCTGACGGACATGTTGTTTGTATGTTACTGTCCACGAGCTGACGGACATTTGTTTGTATGTTGCTGTCCACGAGCTGACGGACATATTGTTTGTTTAGCTGTCCACGAGCCGTTGCTGTGTCCACGAGCTGACGGACATATTGTTTGTACGTTGCTGTCCACGAGCTGACGGACATATTGTTTGTATGTTGCTGTCCACGAGCTGACAGACATATTGTTTGTATGTTGCTGTCCACGAGCTGACGGACATATTGTTTGTATGTTGCTGTCCACGAGCTGACGGACATATTGTTTGTATGTTGCTGTCCACGAGCTGACGGACAGACATATTGTTTGTATGTTGCTGTCCACGAGCTGACGGACATATTCTTTGTATGTTGCTGTCCACGAGCTGACAGACATATTGTTTGTATGTTGCTGTCCACGAGCTGACGGACATATTGTTTGTATGTTGCTGTCCACGAGCTGACGGACATATTGTTTGTATGTTGCTGTCCACGAGCTGACGGACATGTTGTTTGTACGTTGCTGTCCACGAGCTGACGGACATGTTGTTTGTACGTTGCTGTCCACGAGCTGACGGACAGACATATTGTTTGTATGTTGCTGTCCACGAGCTGACGGACATATTGTTTGTATATTGCTGTCCACGAGCTGACGGACATATTGTTTGTATGTTGCTGTCCACGAGCTGACAGACATATTGTTTGTATGTTGCTGTCCACGAGCTGACGGACATGTTGTTTGTATGTTGCTGTCCACGAGCTGACGACAGACATATTGTTTGTATGTTGTGTTGCTGTCCACGAGCTGACGGACAGACATATTGTTTGTATGTTGCTGTCCACGAGCTGACAGACATATTGTTTGTATGTTGCTGTCCACGAGCTGACAGACATGTTGTTTGTACGTTGCTGTCCACGAGCTGACGGACATATTGTTTGTATGTTGCTGTCCACGAGCTGACGGACATATTGTTTGTATGTTGCTGTCCACGAGCTGACGGACATATTGTTTGTACGTTGCTGTCCACGAGCTGACGGAC